ACACACACACGTAAAGATAACACATCAAGTGTTTCACTCTTAGTTAAATGATTTACGATGATTAACGAAGCACTTTTATACTAATAAAGGACTGGCTTACCTAAAGCCAGTTGAGTAGCACTTGAATTGTTTGGCTCTATGAAACCTGATGTACTTATATGATTCTGTTTTCTTCAAGGTTGTGTCTTCCTGGTCGAATGTACTTATTGTAAGTCGCTTTGGATAAAAGCGTCAGCTAAATGCAATGTAATGTAATGTAATTTATCAAAGTCAAATCACAAAATAAATGCAGGCTATAAACAATTGAACACATGCCTGCATTGCAACATATATCAAGTAAATTGCAAAACAACTGCAACTGCATTGCTACAATCCCAAACCACTTCTTGTAATGGCAGCCAGCTCTGGACACTATTGGAGTGATGCAAGGCAGTCCATGAAGCCGATTGCTTCTCTCTGCAAGTGAAGACACGCAAGGTGTGGCCCTTAGTGTGGGTGGGACCTTGGACATGCTGTGTGATGTTAAAGCACTCCAATAGTGACAGAAACTCAGCGGCAAAGGTGCAGGTTCTGGAGTCCACGTGGATGTTAAAATCACCTAGCAGTAGTGTGGATGGGGACATGGAGCAGATCGAGGTGAGAAGCTCAGACAACTCAGACATGAATGACGTGGAAGGTTTGGGGGTGCGGTAAATGAGGACGACCTGCTGCTTTGAGGGGGCAGCCACTGAGAAGGCAATGCACTCAAGTGAGATTTTATTCGTCACAATCAGCTGTTTGACAGGGATATCTGCTCTGTGGATGACTGCCAGCCCACCACCACGACCAATGGAGCGGGGCTGTTGGAGATAAGCATAACCTGGGGGGGTGGCTAGGTTGAGTGTGAGGAAGTCCTGTTGGTTTTGCCATGTCTCAGTGAGGCAGAGAAAATCCAATTTCCTATCAATGATGATTTCATTAATAAGTGATGCTTTGTTGTTAAGGGAGCGGGTATTTAACAACATGAATGTGTGGGAGTTGTTATATGTTGCAATGGCTGGTAAAACAGTGATGCCATCAACACAGGCCAAGGGCTTCAGGTTAACACTGCACACGTGTGGTTTGTTGTGATGACGTAAGTGGGCGGTGACGGGGCGCCGGGAACACACAGTTGGGATAGTGTCAGCTGAGCCGGTGTAAACAAACCCACGTTTGGAACCTCTGTGGACATACCTGGGTCTGCCAACTCGTAACAGCCCGAGGTATTCAATGACTGACAGACATAGAGGGGGTGTAGGGAAGTGGTTGATCCTAAAAAGTTGCGAGGCGGAGTAACGAAGCATCACGATGGTATGATGCTAACGTTAGCACAGCGTTAGCTGTGGTCGCGGATCGGCCGGGAGAATGCGCTATCAGCCAAGAGTACAGATGAACCAGGACAGCAGGCAGCCTGTCCAGGAAGTGACTCAAGGACGGACAGCACTGAGGAGAGATGGTGGAAGTTGAAGACGTTTGCCGCAGAGGAGCACCGGTGGTGGCCAGAGCAGGCTAGCCTGAGCAGGTAGAACTAGGCTAGCTTCTAATCGCCGTCAGACTGGCTGGGTGGAGAGGACCGTTGTTGTGTCTTTTGTGGCAGAACAAAATCAAACAGCAGCTAAGCAGGTGATACAGTGAAGCAGGATCGGGACTCAAAACGGGAAAATGAGACGGAGAATCGGGCTTGTCGTCAGATGGAGCCACTAACGTTAGCGATAGCGTTAGCCCTGAAGCAGGAGCAACATTAGCAGGTTAGGGTGGACAGGTCGGAAGCGGAGCATCCGTAAAAAGTTGCGATCGGGTGTTACAAAAGTGTCCAGAACAGCGTGTGCAAGCCACTGAACGTATGGAAACTGAGGTAGAAACGTTGGTCCAAAATTCGGCAGATACATTTTCGGACAGAGAAGCGGCGAACAGACAACGCCAGCGTCCTCTCTCTCCAAAAGTGTTGCGTCACACAAAAAACAAACAAAAAAAACAAAACACTAATGAATCTGAAAACTTTTCACGGACCCCCTGGCAGAGTGCCGCGGACCCCACTTTGAGAACCACTGGTCTAAAGCATTTATTATTTTTATTTTCCCAATCTCATATTCAGTGTGGACGGATTGAGACAGTCTGGTGTCCAGAGAGCAGCAGAGACTTCAGGGAGAAACCTCCGTGTGATGGACGTCCTGTCTGTTGGTTTGGAGAGGACTGAGGGTCTTTCCTCTGCGAGGAGGACCAGGGCTGATGAAGGAGCCCATGCTGGGCAAAGCTGATACCAACTGCACAGGCCTAGTCTGTCACTTTATTTGACTAAATGTGTTTACTTATACATTTAATAGGTTTACACCTTCTGTCCATATGTGCTTTATATTTAAAACATTTGATTAACTTTTGGTTCACATTTCAATAAATTGTATTTGCACTCCTTTTGTCCATTATTCTTACTGAAAATGTTAGATTACACATTCACATCTGACTGAAGATTGGCCCCATTTATTTGTGACGTTGCAAAACAAGGTACATGTTGTGAAGCTCATAAAGTGAGGCAAATAGAAATAATTAGCTGATGGAGTGTAGATGTGGAAATAGGTGCATTCGATCAGCTGACTGTGTTTACAATAAAAGTAGTTTCTTAGTGAATGTCCTGTACTGGTCTTAAAATCTCATAACATCAGCTTTTAATGTTCCTCTTGGATGTTCTTCTTGACCCTCAGAGAAGGAGAAAATGTTGTGTCTTTCAGGCATGTCCTTTCCTAACAAAAATGACAGGAAACATAAAACATATTATTGCAGAACAAGTGTGTTATTTATGAAAGTGGTGTGTTTGTGTGTTTAGGGGCTGTAGATATAATTATTTTGTAATTGTAATGTTTTTTTTTTATTTCAACAGTGAGCTACAAAGACAATCAGATTATGAATGAACAGTATGAAATTCATCAACATTGAAATATATGTTATCAAAATAATATTGAACTGTTATCAAAACGTAGTGCAACTGTAGAAGCTTGCTCTGTTGTCTCACTGAAAGAATAACTGTTACCACGTTTTTTACAGACAATATTGAGAGATAAATAGTAGCAGTTCTCACTATGTGTTAAATATCTTTGCCTTCAATACATTACATTAGAAAGCTGACAAAGTCATATTGCTTGTTAACATCTAAATGTAACCTTTTGCATGGAAAAAAACCCTCAACTTAACTGATGTGTAGGTGATCTAGTATTTAGTATTGTTTAATGGAATGTATATCAGTGTATTCAAGTCAATACTTCATTCATTTAAACCAATATCTTTCTTGATTCTTTGTACAGTATGAAAAAAGAGTCTTTGTACCTGTGCTGAAGTTCACTGCTGTGAGGAGTCCAGTTCTGTCTCTCACTCTCTGGTCCAGCCTGTCTGCATCACCTGGACACCTTAAACAAACATATATATATATATATATATCTATATATATATAAAGTACCATGTGTACAAACAATATAACTGATTCTCTTCTGTTGAACATGTTGGATTGTGTATTGTCCGAGTCAGGGGCCTTTTTATTTTACTGTAACTTTGGAAGTTGTGTTACCAATGCTTACTGTTTATTTGATACCCATTTGGTAATGCAATTAATAAAAACAACAAGGTTTGGGTTCGTTCTTCAGATGACTGTGACGTTAACGTGTAAGCTCAATAATGAACTCCAGCCCAACCAATATCTAAGTAATCATCTTGAAATATGACATTAATAATTGTAATATACACACATCTTATTGTGAGGTTGATTTCACATACACTACTTCGACATTAGCTTGTCTACATACTTGAGCATAGCCAATTTAAATTAACCTTAGATGCATACAGTTCTACCTATATAATAAAATATCTCTAAGTTAAAAGGATGACCTTATTTTATCAACCTCAAACAGAAGCCGTTTGTTCAACAGTATTATCCCACTTAACACTTGTCTATTTCGTTGTAACCTTTATATATACAGTCTATGATTTTAACTTGGAGGCTACGATTACAATCGTTAGCACCGATGTACACTAGCTTACATGCTAACCCAAGCCTTACCATTCATTACGTAGCTGATTAAAATCATTAACACATAAATAAGTACTCGAATTTCACTTACCCCAATACCGCATTCATGCACCGTCTGTTTTAACCGCAGAGCGAGTCACAATAGTCCGATAAATAAGCATGAAGAACAAACAACCACGGCCGGCTACAAGTTGTGTTTCCTGGATGAGCTGAGCAGGCAGAGTCCCTGTAGCTTCACGGAGCAGCTAGCAGAGAGACAAGAAGCTAACAGCGGCAGGCACTTGACAGAGCCGTCACTCAATGTGACCACGCCCTAATGTATGCACACACTTTAAGACCTAATATAAATAAAAGGGTCGCGTTAGAAAACAATTCACTCACAGATCCATAATCATGAAGGTGGAATCTAACTATATCGATAATAAAATGTATGGAGCCAGGGGTAGAAACATGTTTTTTTCTGCTGTAAAGTTGGGCATTTTAACATGGGGGTCTATGGAAATTGCTCCTTTCTGCAGCCATCGCCTATCGGCCAATATATGAACTGCAGTGTGTGGCACTTCCGTATTGGCTTCCCGGCTCTACCCCACAGTTTGCCGCTTGGTAAGAATGGAGAAACCAGCTCGAGTGAGCTAGAATTTGAAAGTACACAACCGGAAAAAATATGCCTCTTCCTTCAGACTTTCTTACAGAGCCCCTCCTCCAACACACACGAACGCGCACATGACCAATGAGGGCACGAGATAAGTTTGTGCACAGATGGAAGGCTGACAGGCAGGTAGGCCATCCAGTTACTTTAGCCGGGCCGGCTCAGATGATTGGTCGTGCTTTTTACAGTACTACGGCTTCCAGAGATTAATTTTTGTATGTATTTATTGTCAAAGCATTTAATATATTCATTGCTATCGGGACGTTAAGAGCATTCCATGGAATATAACAATAAGTGTTCTGAAATAAATTACATAGCCCATTGAATTATGACTGAAGATCGTCAGCTGTCTTCCTCTCCCTTGTTGTTCCTCGATACGTAAAGGCTGCACCACCGTTGACAACTTCTCTCTACATATCAAACATACCGGTAAACCAGCATCGTTTGCTGTGAAAGCATATAACTCTGTCCACACAGAATTAAATCCTGTGTTCCTCCGGTACTTTTCTTTGATTTATCCATAGTTCGCTCATCGAGCCGGGGGTCAGGTTATTCGCTTCCAAGAAAAGGCGCTCACGCGGGACCGTAGCAGGATGTGACGCATATTTTAGTTGACCTAATTAAAACCGTTTTGTTTTTTATTTATGTGTCACAGTATCACCTCAAAATACAAGATACGAAACATTTTCAACCATGCAATACAATATAAATAGTCATACAAATACTTTTATTTTATTTCCTTCTTATTTTTGTCTAAGCTCAAGGGAGCCAGAGCAGAGGGCTTAAAGGGCCGCGGTTTGCCAACCCCTGTGTCAGTACCAGATATGTTCGGCCTACCAGATATGTTCGGGTGTATTTCCGTCGCATCCGTCATCCGTCATATCCGTCATATACTCACCTCCCTCTGCTCCCAGCGCTATGCTGCCACACACCGGCCGTCTGCGGAACTGCAGCCGGAGGAACTCGGTACAGCTTGTTATGTGTGAACGATCTAGATCCCTCCGCTTCCCCATAATTACCGCGACCATTTTAACTTTCATGACAGAAATGGAGAGCTTTTATGCTGAGATAAAGCAGTACGTGCTCAATGGTGGTTACCACAATCTCACCATCGCCGCTGAAAAGCATGATAAAAGGAAGGCGTTAATTCGGAGGGCATCCAAACAATACCTGATCAAAGGTAAGTAACAGAATAAGACCATGGTTAAGTCACGAACATACGTTTTTATTATGAGGTATAAACCCCCTGTACATGTGACATCATCACATCCCTTTACTTATAGGGATCAATAAAGTATATATCTATCTATCTATTTATCTAATGGTGTTTTTTGGTGCAAAAGTGATCATACCTCTAATGGTTTATCATATTGCAATTCCAACATTTTTCAGTAAATCGCAAGGACTCCACAGCTTGTTTCTCCTTTTTCTTTTTATACACACTTTACATTACTGTAGTTGTTATGTCTAAACCACATTTGCCACTGGATTTCTTGAACAGCTTTTAGTCATAATGTCATCTCTACACATGTCTAAATGATTGTTTTGTTGTTCCTGTTGTGCCAGCTGGAGATTTGTACTACACATACAAGGACAATGAGAGGATGGTTGTGTGCACCAAGGACCAAATTATCAATGTCCTGAAGGAGTGCCATGATAACCTGGGTTCCGGAGGTCATGCAGGGAGAAGGCGCACCACCGAGAAGGTTTTGGCAACGTACCACTGGTCCACTATGCGGGAGGACGTGAAGAAATGGGTGGGAGATTTTGACTGACTGACTGATTATTGATCTACAGAAATGTGTTGTATGTGTACATTGAAACAGAGTGAGACAGTTTGAGCTCCATCAGAGCAGAGAAAACATATTTCAGAACTTTAACAGTTTAATTCTGTCTCCTCTGAAAGTTTTCTCTGTTCTATCATTTTTATACCTAAAGTTTTTTGTTTTGCTGATTGAAAATGTATGATATTTGCTAAGGTTGATGAGTGTCCCCGCTGCCAGCAACACGAGGTCATTAAAACGGTTGCACCCGTACTGCATCCCATTCATGTTCCCGAGGCATGGACTGTCCTTGGTGTGGATCTCATTGGCCCACTTCCCTCCACTGCTAAGGGCAAAAGGTACTATCATGATGGGCTGAAGCATGTGTAACCTCCTTTAAAGGTTCTAAACGTGAAGAATCTGGTTTCAAAAGAAAGGAAATCATTTACAGTGATTCTGTATGTATTTACAACATTCTGCATTTTATATTGCAGATACATTCTAACAGCGACTGATCTGTTCACGAAGTGGGTGGTAGCAAAAACGCTCTACCACAAAACAGCTGTTGAGGTCTCAAAAAAGATTGTAAATATTCTTCTCGATTTCGGTCTTGTCGAGAAGATCATTACCGACCAAGGACGGGAATTTGTCAATGAGGTACAATAATCTATCTAATACAGTGTATGTGTTATGTGTAACAATGTAATACGATTTTTCAGGTAATTTGGTAATTGGTGTACACTAAACCATCTGCAGGTCAACCGTGGTGTTTTTGATGCACTGGGTGTAAAACACTGCATCACTTCAGCGTACCATCCCCAGTGCAATGGCCAAGATGAGCGTACAAACCAAAACATAAAAAAAGCACTTGCAAAGTACTGTGGAGAGGACCAGAATGACTGGGATTTACATCTGAGGGGCATTGTGGCGAGCATTAACACCTCAAAAGCAGGTACAATGTTGTAACAAATGCAGATGGAAACAATACTCAACAGAGATACTAAAAGGAATTTTATGCTTTCAGAGGTCAACCAAGTGCACGCCCTATTTGCCCAGTTTGGGAGGCACCCTCGCGTCCCGGGTGTTATAAATGCTACAGTCAATGACAGGGATGATACCTCTGTTTTGGTGCCTGCTGATGAGGCAGAACAGCAGCTTGAGGCAAAGGCTGCAACCATTGCAGATTTGCACTCGAAGGTGAGAATAAAATGGCAATATTTAAAACATAATAACTCCTAAAAAATGCAAGCGTATGTTAAGGACTGTAAATGATAACTGTTACATATCTTTCTCAGATTTACCAGAACATCCAAATAGCACAACAGAGACAGAAAATCTCTTTTGAAAAACGCAAGGGAAAGAATGTGAAATCTTTCCTGATTAACGTTGGAGATGAGGTCCTAAGAGCGAATAAGAGGAAGGAGGGCCGAAAAGGTAGAAAACTGGAGTGCAACTGGTTTGGCCCTTATGTGGTTTCCTCAATCACCAACAAGGGTGTGGCAACCCTGTTGAGCTCAACAGGAGCTCAGCTGAGACAGAGTGTGAATGTGTCTCAGCTGAAGCCCTTTATCAGGCCTATGTTGAGAGGTATTTTGATTATCAATACAAGGACACATTTTAGGTATACTTCATGTGTGGTACTTCAATAATACTGTTTATTTTTTGTCTATCTAATAACAGCTGAACCGAAGTTGGATTCGGAGGGGTCTGTTGCTGACCACCAGTATGCCCTCTCTGGTGCGAAATACGCAAAGGATCTACATCCGATTCAAGACAAGCTGGTAGATATATGTTTACTTCATGCACAGTGATTTGATTTTAATTTTTCTATGTTTTCTATTGGCTTGAAGTATGTTTTGCAATCTGTTATTTGCAGCTCAGCTATGTGCTAGACCACAATAGGCCTGGAGCAGAGGTCATTGTGAAGGAGGGTGATGTGTGCCTGACCAGAGAGGACTTTTGGAGCCTGGGTCTTCCTCAGTGCATGGAGTCAAATGTAGGTATACTTGAGCTTTCCTCCCAACTTCATCTTGTCTCAAATAAATGGCACAGGTAACTTACTGTTGTTACTGTTTCAGATTGGAAACACGTGCCTGAAGATGGTACAAGAAGCCACCCAAAGACATGTACGGTTTTCAACAGACATCATTGGCCTGCTTTTTCTTTTGAATAACACATATTTTCTAAATAGCTGTTTAGTGGTGAAACTCCAATCTCGTGAAGTGTGGTTGTCTCTTGTTGTTGAACATACTTCTATGAAGATTTCATTTTTTTTGAAAAACTATCAATATAGGGCAAAGATATATACATCGTGGATATGTATGTGGTTCCTACCTGGAAGTCCAAAACAGCTGACGCGTTGGCCAGTTTTCCAGTAAGTTCCTGTTGCTTGAGACCTATGTTTCTTGAAATTGATATACAGCAACTTAAAATCCCTTGTTTAAAATACTAGGCTGACCAATTGGCCACCAAGGACATGGTTTTCATCCCTGCCTGGAGTCGGCAGCAAGGAAAGGCAGATCACTATTTGCTTTGCGTGAGTCTGTTCCAAATGATCTCACCAGCATGTACAAAATGAACATAAGTTGTGCTGTGTGGTTTTCTTCTGGTGTTTGATTATGTCTAATTTCAGCTATTTTGTCAATGGTTGACAGGTGATCAAGCCAGCAAAGAGAGAGTTATATTTGCTCGACCCTCTTAAGCCAGATGGCTTTGGGGACAATTCCTACAAGGACATATTTAGGTTTTTGTAACATGATTACCCCCACCGTTCTGTGGCTTGTATGGGAGTTCTAAATAGTTTATAGTATTCTAATACTGCAGTAACCATCTTGTAGACCAGGGGTCTGAATCTGATCAAATTCATTTATAATATATCTCCATTTCCACAAAGTCTGGAGTGTCCTTAGTGGAACCAAAAGAAAAAGAGTCTGCAACAGGATGCTATGAATTATAATGTTCATTTTGTTATAAGCCTTGTTCAAAGGTTGTTTTCAAGTTCAGCTTTGTTCAGAGGCTGGTAAACGTATTTTTGTTTGTTTTATTTTAGCCCCGTTCAGTGGCTTTCATAACTTTCCTCTTTTAAGGCATGCAATAGTTCAATGTAAGGAAATCCAAAAACATGAATTATATTGAGTATAGCGTTCCTTCACCAAATCAATTCCCATGTCTTATCATTTCTTTTGACAGTGACCTAGCGCACCGCATTGCTCCAGGTCAGTGGACAGTAAAGTTCGGCAGAGACGTCAAGGTACATTTCTCCACCATCTCATACACCTGCTTTCACATGTCTTTATTTTCCATTTGACCATGAACATCACTGTTATATTCCAAATTCTTACAGGGTTTGCCTCACCAAACCACGGGCAATGACTGTGGTGTCTTCATACTGATGGTAAATTCCTCCCTTGACACTTTTTTTTTAAGGGGTTTTGTTAGTTTTTGAAACTCATAACTTAACAGATCTTTATCCTTTCACAGTATGCACTGAACTTCAGCACAGATGCTCCACTTTGGTTTACCGAGGTCAGTATTTATCCTCTGAGTTAGTATTTCAGGGGGAAGAGGGGGCTAACATTGAGTAGACAAATGATGAGGTTCCATTCATTTTCAACTTTATTATTGTTACA